TGGGTAAACCCTATGGTCAGGTCGGTTGAAATGTAAAGTCCCCTCAATGATTAGGTCGGATGAAATGGTAAAAACCCACTCTCCTGGAATAAATGCTTTTTGGGAAATTGGTACAGGACACGAATTTCGAAAGAAAACGGAACCCTTAACAAAATAAAAACCTTCTAGACCAGAATAAAACTAAAACGGAAAAAAGAACCCCACCCCTTTACAATATCTGTCCATGGGACGATTTGGACCAATTAAAAGGAAATAAATCTCTATGAAGCTTTTGATCAATTTTCAACATGTGATCATTAAAGAATTAATTATTCACAAACGCAGTTAGGTGCCAGCCCAGAAGAACATTTTAAAATATTTTATGTAACATTTTACCCATACGACTCTGAAAAGAATTAGGTAAATAAATCTCCAGGCTGGTAAAACAGAATAGATACTTTATAATGTAATCCTTAGGTTAATTTAAGCATATAGTAAATGTACCTTTAAAGACTGTTCACCAAAGACTGAAGAGAAACCCTCTCTCTTTCTCGGCATTTAAGTATTATTTAAAATGTCTTTTCTAAAGAGAAAGAGTTATTTCGAGCAGTGAACCTGATTTCTTAAGAATACATAATAGACATTTCCTTCTGCTTTTAGGCACCATTTGAACTGGTGAGAAGGATAGTTTTTTAGAATCTCTAATTCCTTTACATCATTTCACTAATTAGTTCTTTCTCTTTCCTCTTGAATGCAGAGGTATCAGTTTAAAAGATAAAAATTGTCAACTACTTTCTCCAATAGCGAGTTCTGGACAGCTGGAGTTAAAAAGGGGTTGAGAGATGGGACTGAGAAGCAAAATTGAAAATCTCTATTTTTTTTTTTTTTGCTGATATTCAGAGAAATGAATGGCAGATCAGGGCTATGGTGAAGCAAATGAGACCCTAAGAGTGAGTGCAGATGCCTTGCAATTGCTTCAGAGTCCAGGATATTTCTCCTTGGCAGTTTAGAAATAAGGGTGGGTTGGATGGGTTGCTACATGAAACAAAAGAGAGTTTTGAGGAAGCTCTACCACACTGGCCTTTTGGGACTCACAGAAAGGGTATTTGCTGCTTTCCATTGCTTGTTTCACAGGGAGAATCCCAACTTAATCACATAGACTTTCCTACTCCTTCCATCTAGAGCTCTTGTGCAGTGGAGTTTTGATGTCAACAATTCTCTGAATAAAGACCACTGTATGTACAATAACTACCATTTATAAAGCCCACATGAGGTCCAATTTGTTCAAGTGATTTAGAAACCCTAAATCAACCCTTATTTATGTCATAGTCTTTTCTCATATATTGTACCACATGATTGCTTTTTGTCTTCTCTGACTTCACTCATTTTTGGTTGCTTTGCTCTTCCATACCTGTACTCAAGTTAACTGGTTTCTGAACCCAAGACTATCTACTAAGAACAGGGAGGCACATTGAAAGGAATGCATTGAGGGCTGAGGGTGGCTTGAGAAGGAAAGTTCAACTCAACTGATTTAAAGAGCAGTGTCAAATTTTGTAATAAACAATTGTTTCACTAGAGAAAAAGCTCACAGTCTCTGTGGATAGCAAGGAGAGTAGCTGTGTGAGTGTAACACCCTTTAGCAGGGCAAATTAAGCCCTAGGATTATTTGATATTTTCAACTGAGGCCACTAGCAGGACAGTGGGTTTCTGAGTGATGTTTTATATTTAATACACAAGTAAGATTTTAAAGTGTCAATCATTTCTCTGCAGCCTTCTAAGTCACCTCCATATGTGATGTGATCTCATCTTTGCTCCCATTTCAGTATTCCTTTTATTGATAATAATTTGTTTGATTAAAAATGGGTTCTTTAGCAAAGGATGCAGTCTAGTTATTACAACCTTTCTTACCTTCTTTTTTCTTCTTTTATTGAGTTTAATTCTAACTGTAGTATATTCTTATTCTAGTCTGATCATCACCTATTGCTTTAGAATGGCCTCAAAGGAGATAAAAAGTCTTTCTCATTGCACAGTCTGTGTCAGAATAGTCTTGCATTTTTATAAATTGGACTATCTATTGAGTCCCAGATTTTGACTTCTTAAGTTGTTCCTGAAAACCATTGATAGGTCATTAAGTGAGTGCCAAGTAAACATGCCATAGTTAACCTGTGCTGGCACGTGGAGAGTTGTCTCATAGGGGATGCTCATGTTGTCAATTTCTAAGTTTAAATATCTATCCATTCATATATACAAACATATATACAAACACAAATACAATTTGATGAAGGAAGCGGTTATGGAACTACTGTGGGCTATTTTAAAAATCTATTAAGAGACATCAGAGAAGACAAAAGATATAGAGAACCATTTGTATACGGTCCCCTGCCTGCTTAATAAAGAGCATGGTTGGCTTTTGTTTGGTAGTTTTTTTTTTTTTTTAAGTAATCTAAGCACAGGTCCCTTAATTAAGAAAGATTAATCACCAGTTTTTATTGTTTGGCTTCTCCACACAGAACCCATGACTCTATCCAGTGCCTTTAGAAACAGCAAGTTCCCAATATATCGAGAAACCTACCTCTGCCAGTCACTTAAATATGTAAATAAACAGTATGTTTATGCTTTGTTTTAAAAATTTTAAAGCAAAAATTCATATATATATATATGCGTCCTTTCTAGGTGAAATACCGACTGGAGGACAAAATACCCTCAGCGTGCAATTCAGGTTCTGCAGGCATCTTTTCAGCACAATCCTTGGGAAAAAAGCAAAGCAAGGAGAACATGGTGCTAGGTCAGGCCTCACTGCAGGGTCCTGTGGTCGCTGCCGGACTGAGCCTGTAGAACCCATCCAGAGGCTGGGCAGATGCACAAGCAGGCCAGCGGGTGGGTCTCTGGCCACCGCACTCTGGCCATCTAGTTTCACAAGTACTGGGTTTGCTTGGTCTCCATCCTCCCTCCACTTTGTCTCATTTTTTACACCGGATTCTGCTTCTGAGCATGCTGTGTGGGCAGCTCAGATATCACACTCGCTGTCGCTGGACGTGATGGAGATGGCCGAAGTGGCTGCCTTGCTGGATAGGCTGGCGGCAGGACTGGCTGCGGTGCCCAGCACCTCAGGGGTGCCCTCTTCCTCTGCCCTTAGCACCCGCCCAGAGCCTTGCGACAGGACCTGCTGCTGGAGTCTATGGGGAAGGGAAGGGACAGGAGTCACAAGTAGTAATTCAGCCGTCTGTGGCCTCACTCCCTCCCCCTCCAACAGTGTATTTCCCTTGTCAGTGGCTCTCCTTCAGATGTGGGCAGCTAAAGTGGGTAAGGTGAGGTAAAAGAGGACAGGTAGGTGTTGGTGGTAACACCTTGGTGCCTATCCTTCCAGTCTTTTCTCTGCCTCCTATTTCCCCCATGTTTGGGATGCTGGGTTTTCAGGGCCATTCTCTGTTGTCCACTACCTTTGAGAAACTAACAATACTGTCAGGTGTGGGTGCTAAGGACAGATTAGGCTCAGGGTAGAGGAACCCCTTCCCAGTCTGTGTCTACCTGAGGCCCTCACCTGTCAGAGACTTCTAGGACAATTGGGTCCAAGTTAAAACTAGGCTACCTAAAAAATGTGTGGAGCTTTTGGGCCTGTGAAGAAAAGGCTGGGTTCATGGCTGAAATATCTGACTAACCGATAGTCTCACACTGGGTATGGTAAGCCTCAACCAATTAGTTTGCTGTTTCCAGACAGGGCTGCTATTAGTGGAAGAGGGGAATTTCCATTTGCCACTTCTTAGAAAGAGAAACCCATCAAAAAGTGATTTCAAAGCTTTAGCAAGGGAATCATCTGAACTTAAAAAATGACCACACATGCACAAAACAACACTACTTTGCTAATAAGTTAGCATTCATGTAATAGGAGCCCAGAACTATGCTGTTAGCTTTAAGCCCATGTCCCTAATTATTTCTGGGACTTTAATTTTTATTTCTTTCCTCCTCCCAATGCAACCTTCATTTTGCGAGAACCAGTTGTTGGAATGCCCCCCAGGTGCCCAGAAAAAGAGAATGGAGAGAAGGAAACTCCCACCCAGATCCCAGAACACAGAGGGCTCATACCCCAAGCCGGACTCTGTTCCCAACTCCTACTGAATCTAACTCAGATGGGCTCCCAGGGTCTCATCACCAGCCAGCTCCTTATTGTGAGCAAGGCGCAGAGGCCTCTAGGTACCAACCTGTTCTTGGCTGCAGCCGCCCGGTCCCTTTGTCGGCGATTTTTGAACCAATTGCCCACCTGTGTAGGGGTCAGTCCGGTTGCCTGGGCAAGCTCCCGTTTTTTGCTGGGGTTGGGATATGGGTCCTGCAGATACCATTCCCGTAGCAGGTGGCGTGTGCGCTCCTTGAAACAGTGTGTCTTCTGTTCGCCGTCCCAAATGGTGCGTGGCAGCGGGAACTTCTTCCTCACGCGGTACTTGTCCACTGGCCCCAGGGGCCTTCCGCGCAGCTTCTCAGCCTCCTGGTAGTGTGCTTCCAGCCACAGAGCCTGCAGTTTGGCGTGCGACTCCTTGGTGAACTTATGATTTTCCAGGATATGGTAGAGCTCGCGGTAGTTGCCGCCGTGAAAGGCCACGATGGCCCGCGCTCGCAGCACCGATTCATTTTTGTTGAGGGCTTCGCAGGCCGCAGGGGCCACGGGCAACGACCAGAGGAAGCGACCCAGACGCTCCACGTCGCCGCTTTCCTCCAGAGTCTCGCAGACCCCGGCCACTTGCTGGGGGCTGAAGTTCAAGAGGGGTAACTGGAACATCGAGGCAGCAGTGGCGCCGGTGGGGACGCGGAGCCTGGACAGGGACACGCAGGAGATGCCTGTGGCTTCGGCCTGGTGCTTCAGGCGCTCCTCAGCGAAGCGACTCGGGGTACCCGGGAGGCACCTGGCAGCGGCTGCCCTGCAAACGCCCGGAGCGAGTGGAGCGCGAAAGGAATGGAGGAGGTGCGGGGTTAGCTGCTCCGGTTCAGCTCCGCTGCGTTAGCGCAAACCAGCGGGGCGAGCGGGCGCAGCTACTGGGGTGAGCGGATTGGCGGCTTGGGCGCCATGGAGACCCCCTGTCAGTCACCGGCTCTCCCTGCCAATCACGACTGCGACCTGCGCGCCAGAGACATTTCAGCACCTCCCCGCTCTCGACAGCGCCCGCGGTTCACCCGTGGACTTCCCTCAGTATTTGCAGAACCTGGAGGAGGAAAAGACTGTGCAAATGGCTGTGAGAAAAAGAGAGTGTCAGCGTTTCAAACCCCATCTCCCCAGTCTCGTTGTTCCCTCCTATCCTCCACCCCAAAAGAGACTGATGCTACAGGAATCCACTACAGGACGATGAGCTGCTTGGGTCTAGAGGTCTCCAGAGGACAACGAAGACTGGGCCAAATCTAAATCCTCCGTGAATTCTCCAAGTTTCATTGTAACGAAACAGAAAACCTACCGGGGAGCACACAAATGGAGAGGGAGGGGAAATGGATCGATCATTTCATTTCATCCCAGCACCTATCCTTGCACGCATTTGGTCTTTTTCTAGCTGCCAAAGTACCCGCGTAGGAAGTGACTCTGAAGCAGAAGGAACAGGACTGGGGATCTATAAGGAGGTCAGTTTGGTCTCTTATCCCCACCTCCAAAAGATTCCTGAAATCCTTTGATTTTACCAACTGGGTCTTCTTACACATGATAACCCAGGTGTAAGTCAAACACTCTCAAGACGAGGGTGTTTCACCCAAATACAGTTCCGACGTTTTAGTATCCCCCTTCCTCCAGTTTAATGGACTCGAACAAATGTGCATCATAGCCACATCTAGAGTGAGAAGTCACTGGTAGGTCAGGACAACAACTTAAAAGCTTATTTCAAAATATCGATTTGCTTTTCTTGTGGGTTAATTTTGTCCTACTCTGTGTTAGAACATTTAACTCTTGAGCTGGAGATAGAAACTCCGACCTTGACCTTTAAGCCCAAAAGTATTTTTTCCATAAAAGATAGACGAAAAAGAGAGAGCCACTACAATAGTGTGTGTGCCTGCATATGTGTGTGTATGTATGTGTGTGTGTAGAAAACACTTCTTAAGTTGCTGAGCACTGCAGAGAGGAAGGAATTTCTTGGCAGTTATATAGCTAGGCAGATAGGTTTAGTTGGCAACTTTTATTGATTGCCAATTGACATTCACATCATACCTCTTTCTGAGACTGTCAAAAGAAAACATTATCTCAATCCGACTTTTGATAGAGGTTGTTTAGTTTGAAGAAAATAACTGGGACAAGGGAGTCCTGGGAAAACAGTCTTTGAAACATTCATCCCTAGAAAGGAATCAGATAGGATTGTTCACCATGGACCTGGACTGGGCCCTGCTGTCTTTTCTTTAGTATCAAGTACAATGTGTATGTGAATTGTACCGAGCTGGTAAATCAGAAGGCAGATAGATAGCACAGATGGTTGGAGATGCCCAGTCGTATCATGCTACGCATGAATGCAAGGCAAAGCTCTTGTGATGGAAAACCTGATATTATTTTCATAGACCTTCACCAAAATGAAAATTTTATTTTTAATACACTTAAAAAAAATCACTTGCGCGCCGAGTTGGGGGGGGTTGGTGATGGAGAAAAAACCCTGCAACCATTTCCATAATTTCTGTGAATTTACCTGTTACCTCAACGAGGAGATTTTCTTTGCTAAGAGCTCATTTTCTTGAAATGTGACTTGGGCAGGGACAAAATAAAGTGGGCGATAGGGTAATGACAAAGTTCAAACCTCCCCTGGCGTAGGACTTCTTTTGAATCCACCGGAAGGGTAACTTTGAGTGAGAAACAGCACATACAGGAGCCCAAGATAAACTGTAGAAACCCCACTAGTTCTGAGATCCCCTGGAGAGCTGTGTTCTTGGCAAATGACCAGAGAAGAAAAGCATCCCCCCCCATGCTTCATTTTGCCCGGATTTCTTAATTCCTCCTCGTCTCCCGGCTCTTAGCAGAATCATTTCAAGTTAGCTTTCCGCGCGCAAAGGAGTCGCAGGTTAGATCACAACGGGCGAACCCAGCGGATCCCAACCTTTGTGCTTAGCTGCAGGAGGTGAGAAGTAGTGGGGGTCAGGGAGCCCCACGCCCTTTTGACAGTTTGAAAGCAGTGCATTTGGGGAAAACTGGCTTCTTACCCTTAGTTTTTGTGACTGAGTCGGGTCAATTTTTTGAATCTAGGTTTACTCTTCAGGAAATGCGAATTTACTTCATTTCTTGGACAACAGTTAGACAAATAATAGCGGCTTCTACACGTCTGGGGTTCTCAGGAGACTTGGACCCCAAAACCTGGGTGGGGCGCGCTAAAGCCCTCTCACTCTGGGGGCCGAGCCTAAACAAGACCGGTGCGAGGTCTAGGCGCCGACTGGAGGGGCCTTAGTGTTTAGAAGTTTACGGCCAGGTCCTATATTCGCCCTCGCAGGGAACGTTATTTCATTTCAACTCAAATAAACTCCACTGGGTCACCTTGGAATCACGTAATAACTCACCCGCTTTATGTGGGACAACAGGAAAAACGTGTGAGCCCCTTACCCCTGGAAATGATAGAAACCGCTAAGGTTCCTTAGGGAAAACTCCGTGGTTATGCAGTTATCCCAACCCCCTTTAATGTGCACTTCTCCCAGGTTTGCCGGACAAAAGCTGGACTTTCAAATTTCTTTCTTAATTTAACGGAAGGATACATTTTAAAAAACGGATCTTGGCCATTCAACGAAGTAACTTCTGAGCTATAGCCAACCCCTAAAAACTGATCTTGGAACTTCGTGCCAACCCTCCAGGCAACCCTGCCCTACCACCTTCCACTTGAGCTTTCTTTTGCTCTTGATTAGGAAACATAAGACTTGCCGCTGCACCTTCTGACCACTTTCTGCTTTGCTACTTTCTGCTATTGCTTTGCACGGGCAGGTTTGGCTCACGAAGCTGTGGACAAAAGCTATATTCTTGCCAGGAATCATTAAATGTCTTTTCTCCATTGTGTAGACTTGAGACTTTTATTTAATGGGGGAAATAATGGAGGAAAAAAGATAGCTGTAGAGGACAATGCCCTGGAGCAGGTTCTATATTTAACAGTTCAATGCTGGACTAAAGGCAAAATGCCCCTGGGGAGCTGTGTGGGTCCTTCCAGAAATTTTGGTCTGGGACCTATTGCACCTATCTGGTCAACCTTCATTTTGCACCTTCTGATTTTCCTCTGTGGACTAGAAGGATGTGTGAAATCCTAGCTATACCCCAAGAAACAATGATTCTTGAATAGGAAGCACTGTTTAGAGGTCAGCACATTCTTACCTAATCTCTTGTCTTGTTCTGTCTTATCTTTTCTTTGACTTTCCCTAAGTCAGATGTCTGTAAAAATTTCCATACTCAGGAATTGTGATGAATGTATTAATTGAATGCATCTGAATTCTGTGATGAAAACATTTGTGCTGTGTGTGAGAATCACAGGCTGGAAGACAACGAGGCCCCAGCTTTTTGTGTATATCCATTTCCACTTGCAAGAAAATCTTGGTTTCCCTTTCCCATACCTCTAAGCTACATGTTGCTGGTGGGTGAGAATAATGTATAATTTAGAAAATCTAAAAAACTCTCTAGTATCTTTGAAATTATAGGATTAGAATTTCACATTTTTAAACATTTATCCTTGCACTTAGTAATCTGATCTTTAAGTGATACCATATGCATAAGTAAAAGATATAGTTCATTTTATGTAGCTGGTGACCTAGATCTTTTGATTATGGAGTTAATTCAACATCCCAATTTTAAAGTACTAACTACCCCAATAAGCTCCTGAGGTAGATTGCTCTATTTCTTGCATTCCTTGCCTTCCAGTATGCACCTTGTAACGAAGAAGAATAGAGATGCCTCTTTAGTGTGCATTCCTGAGACCATACATCACTTGAGAAACATTTCGTAGATTTTCTGGTCAAATTAACTGACAAAAAAAATCAATCTAATTTTAAGAGATTATTTTATTGTTATTTACAAAATGACTCAGTTATATTTTAGATGAGGCAAAGTTGCTCATGTTGTTAAGTGGAGGAGATTTTTAAAGTTGAACTGTGGTAAAACCAAATGAAAGTAATGACTGACTGGCAATGATGTTGTTTTGTTTTGTTTTTAATGGTAGGATGACTATATAAGTGTGTTTTGATCTTTAATCAGTGATTGCTCCTAGGCATTTTCATGAGAATTTGTACTAAAGCCAGAGTATATTATAAGTGTATATTATAGTATAATATAGTATATATTATGTCCCTATTTAAATTATGGTCTTAAATTTGCTTCTCTCTTTCTTCTTCTCCATTTTCCTGTCTCTCTGAGGGTAAACCTAAATCTTCAGAGAGCTACTTATACTACCACAAAGCTTTGGGCAACATATCAGTGGGTTCTTGTGTGATTAATGCTTAAAAATGTAACCTGCCTGTCTTTTATAAACACGTTATTATCAGAGATGAAATACTAACTGAATGACTAAAAGTGTGGTTAATTCACAGTTCTCTACTGGAACATTTTTTTCTACCAGCAGGTTACTTTTCATTATCCTCAAAACATCTTTCTAAAATACACAGAAGGGCCCTCCCTGGTGGCACAACAAGTTAAAGCACAATGCTATGAAGCTATCCGCAGCTACTACAACATGAATTCAATTCCCAGCCTGGGAGATGACCCACGTGGCACAGCAGACCTCTCCTGACCTGCCCACTGCTCCCGTCAGCAGTATATTTCACTGGATCTGCCTGTTCTGCTCCCCACTCTGTCTTGGGTGAATTTTCTCACCCTCCCTGTACCTCTGGCCTGTACCCTAGTTCTTATATGCATAGACAAATAAATCTT